AACAGGATGGAATAATTTCATATTTACTTTCAGAAGTTTGAATTCTGAATATGAGCGGACTTTTCCTTTAAAACTCTGCAGTTAGTGCCATGTAAAGGTCTTAATCATGAGAAAAAGAAACCTCTGAAAAACCACAAATGTAACAAAATGTTTTTTGTATGCTGTGTTTTCTATACACTTAAAAACTACAAACATTGGAGGATTTCTGATAACATTTAGCTGAATTCAGGTTGATTTTTCCAAATAAACAGAATCAAGCTGAAGCCTAAATGCTAAAGACGGAGGATAATTGGACATCAGGGGGAGGAGGACGCATGGATGCTTTAGAATGAGAAGTAATTAGAAATTAGCCGTGGGATTGGGGGGGGAGCAATTAGGCATGGTCTTTTTTTTTTTTTTTTTTCAACAATTTGTTTCATTTTTTTCTTAATTTCGCTGAAGAAAAACACATTTTTAGTAGCAGTAATTTAAACAAATAATTCTAAAATATCAGATCAGCTGCACACGAGGTTTAAAAGTCTTTAAATTGGGTTTAAATTTGAAGCAATGCTACGACACTGATGTTTCCATCCCTAATGACCGATTGACCATCTAGTGTTGAAAGCACAAACCTGTAAACACAGTCTATGGGTGCCCTAAAGGGCCAAACAACTATCAGACAAAGTAATCAAAGAGTAAAGAATCCGTTGAACATTTAGCATAGATAGATGAACACATCTTCATTTGTGCAGACAGAGCATCTGCATATCGAAGCATGAGATTGACACTGATTAACTGAGTAGAACTTGCTTAACCCTTTATAGGGAACTCAGGGAAATACTTTGAAAAACAAAATTTGAAGCCAATAGTATTGTTTAAATCTAGGACAAGACATTATTACCTTTGTAACATTAAAAAAATATGGACGACAAAAACGAATGTCAATGTAATAATAAGAAACGCCAACTTGGCCGAATATATTAAGAAAAATAAAAAAAAAGTGCTTCTATAAGGAATTCATGAAAAATATGAAAGAAACAGATTTTTTTCAGTACAACATTACCTTAGAGGCATTAATGCTGATACTGGCACTTACATTTTTGGTTCATAATCCTAAATATTATTGTTAACTAGACTCAATTATTTTTCTTGACTTGTTAACTTTTTTTTAACTTAATTTCCAGTTGATAATATATAATTCAGGTCTCATCTAATTGCTCAAATGCCAAAATAAGATTTACACCCATGTAGCAGGATTTTGGCTGGATGGCTGGATATACACTGTACAAAAATTTAAATCTCAATAAGTAATTTTTTCTTAAAATAAGTGTATTTCTCCTTGAATTGAGGAAGTTAGTGTGAAACCTTGCCAATGGAACAAGAAAATGTACATTTAAAATAAGAAAAAACTATTGCATTGTCTTATTTCAAGGGCATATTATCCAATTATCTTATTCTAAGAGTAAATATACTCATTCCATTGGCAACTCATCTTATTTTTCTACTCAAATTAGGGGTAAATACACTTAATTTAAGACATGTTGCCTTATTTCTAGATCGTTTTTGCAGTGTAGATCTAGTGCTTCTAGACCTCACTGAGGGGGGGTAAGGGGTCCCCCTCTTAACGCTAACTTGCCCCATAAAGGGTTAATCCCAGCGGTACATCTGTGAATCATATGTAGAGACTCAAAGTTCTGTTTCTTGTGGTTTTTAAATATGTTTTTGGGAAAATAATGAGGAAACATCAAAGGGCCAAAGCCATATTTGATAGGAAATATATTCTTAAAACATTTTTATTGCAAAACCATCATTTTCTTTATATATGAGTTGCAAAAAAAATCCCCTTGTTATGCTGTCGGTTTATTGCCAGAGCTGTAATAATAACAGCATATTTTATTTTTCCATCTTCAGGCAAATCAGTTTCTTTTTTGAAGCTGGTAAATTCTGTAAAGTTCAGATGTTCACACAGTCTATCTGTTCAACAAGGGTTTTCTGTGTTTTGGTTCCACCCAGAGAAGCCGAGCTCATTTATCAACAACAGCTTCATTCACGTGTTTTTTTCCTAACAGAATGTATTTGTACATCCACAGGAAGTGTTATTTGCCAGCCTGCTGGTTTGCCCTGTATATTAGTTTAACACTATAAATGAGCTCTAACCTCAGATGGTAGAAGGAACTGTTTTCATTTAAAAATGTAAAGCAATTCATCTGAAACCTTCTCCCATTTTGTGGCTCATAAAATAGAGTGAAGATTCCCTCCTAAACGTGAGACAGTTCACTGACTCCTTCTATTATGCTTTTGTCTTGTATCATTTATCACAACCTGCCTCCATGAGCAAGCAAAGCCGGATCGCCCATGCATATCTATTTTTAGAGCTAAATCGGATCGCTCCATTAATGCTGTCGTTTATTCCTACAAAGAAAGAGAAGTTTGGATGAGCTTTTTTTGTTTTTTTGATAGGTTTGATCAGATGAGACTGCCTCACATTGTAGAGGGAGATAATGAAAGTATAGAACATTTTTGTGACAAATACATTTCAACATGCACTGGAAAAACAATCTAGAAATAAGTAAAATATCTTAAATTATGTGTATTTACCCTTAATTTAAGTAGGTAAATGAGATGAATTGCCAATAGAATTAGTATTTTTACTCTTAAAATAAGATATTTAGATAAAATGCACTTTAAATAATATAATGCAATTGTGTTTTTGTTTTTTATTTTAAGCATAAATTGTGTTGTTCCATTGGCAA